GGTCCAAAACCAGTCATAGCATGTCCAAGCTGGTCAGAGCTTAGTCAAAGCTGGTCATGGCTTGTCCTAGCAGGTCAAGGCCGGAGCCAGTCCAAGCTAGTTGAAGCCTTGATCGAATCTCAGCCAAAGGCTAAGAAACGATCTAATATTTGTCAAAAACCCCAACGAAATTCGTCGAGTGAGGCAGCGTATAAGATAGTCTCACCCAATACCACAAATTGTTATAAACCCAAAAGATTAATCTGAAAACTAGAGTCATGTTCTGAAATAGCCTGGTCAAATCTAGACTTTGATATGTATGCTATGTTGGCGCCAAACTCAGTCAGTAGCATCTAACTTCAGTCCGTATAAACCGTTTCTACGATCTAAAAAATGGCTTTCTACGAAGCCTATGTTTTTTTGGTGAATGTATTTAAAGATAAACACTCAGTTGTGGAGCAAGCTAAGTGAATAATAATGCAACCTTTAGAAAGAGAGCTATTTATGATTTTTTTAGTCCATTGCTTGGGCTGTGATTGGCTGAAGAGTATTTCAAAAATTTGATTCATCAAAGGGTTTGTGGATTTTTTGTCTGCCAGCTGGACGCTAGCTGGGAATTTACAAAGTGCTGTTTATTATTGTTATTCTACCGTTTCGCCTTGTGGATTGGCGCTACAGAATCACAAACAAAGAACCGTGCCTAATAATAGAAACCAGATCATTTTAAGACTTTAAACAGCACCAACAACAGAAATGGATATCACAGGGAACTCCAAAAGAAAATAATGATATCAATAATTCAAATAAAAGGTTTGGAAGGGCATCCTCATTAATTTTGGACATAGCAGCAACAGATATGAGATTTGGGGAACCTATTTTTCTGAAAAAATTGTTTTACGATAAGTATCTTATAAATTTAAACAGACATTAGTATTGACTGTCCGATCAGTGAGTGTCGAATGTTTCCTTGGGAGGCTATTGGGTCAGTCGGTGGTGTTGTTCTATGACACTTAATAACAATGCCGTACACGTGGATATTCTCTCGAGGACTATATTATCAAGATCTAATTTCACTGACAAATCGATTATGTTTGGTATCTTAGTGGAAAAAATTCTAATAATCATTCAACTGCTTGCGAGTATTTAGCTTGAGATTGTCATGTTAATGGTAATCTCTTGGGCAAATAATGAGGAAGGATAGCTTGGAAAACTTAATCCTCACAAGGCAGCGAAGTACCTACTTGACGAGCTTGTGGAATGGATGTCGATAAGTGAAACGTGAGCCTTCGCAATGGAAGAAACACTGTTATGGTCCAGAAGAAAGAATGGAGAGCTATGGCCGCCCAATTCCTGAAAGGAGGCGACACAAAGGAGGGCGAGATGAAGGAAAGAAATATAACTTTGTTCTGGAAGATATACAACTGGTAACAGGTAATCAATTTGTAGACATGTGTGTAAATTTCTGGCATGAGAATTTGGCATTATTTACATTCTTATATTTGGACTGTTGTCCTCATCTTTGTTGATACTATCACAACACTTCAGCCGTTGTGCTCTCGATATGGAGTGTATCGATAAGGTGTATATCGATCTGGGTAATTTACAGAGAATTCTAAACTGAACAATTTATTTAATCTATAAGGTCAGGTTGCTCATGTGTAGAGACATATATTTATTATTCTACAATTCTTGCTCACCCGTTTCAACTGGATGCAAGTCAGCAGTTCTTGACGCAGGTATTGAACTGACAATCACTATATCATTAAATGCAGAAACCAACGCTTTATCTACTATTATAATGTCACGTAGGAATATTTAAAAAAACGTTATTGAGTGAAGTTACACATATGTCTCTTAATTAAAAATTTGCGTGTTTAGTGTCTGCTAGTCATTAACTAGTATAATCGTAGAATTTGAAACAGTGGTTTTCTGAACTTGGAATAATTCAGCTGTAATCTTCTATAAAGTATTTTCTCGTCAGAATCCATTTTACACATTTAAAAATGTGCCATTCGTCCATGCATTGAATACTCTGGCCATATCTTGACTGGTGCTCTTGCTCTTCACCTCGAGGTTCTTGACAAAATCCCAAAAAGGAAATGCAATGTAATCGATCTGGACTAGGCATCTGAACTCCAGTCACTTTTTCACTGGCATGATGTGGCTTCTCTCTGTCTTTTCTACAAATGTTTTCATGGTAACTGCTCTGACGAGATTTTTTTACATGAATTTAAGCATGCCACTATAGATTGGCATCAAGTTCCACTCATTTATTATTGAAATAGTTAAACGTAAGCTCCATAATAAAACACATACAGTGTGTTGCAAATATAGATATACGGTAACTATTATACCAGTATCGACATGTTTGTATAATCAATAGATAAATTTTGTGCGCATGTTTTCGTTTTCATTATAGTATACCTATTTTCGGACACCCTGTATATTTGATGTTAATCCCACACATGGAACACGCACCTATTGCATTCTCATTGTTCCCAATTTTATCTTATTTTATTTTTCCTTCAACTTTTTATCCCTATTTTCTTTTATAATCAAAGTCTCCGCCTAAAGTCCGTAATTTTATCGCCTGGTTCACATTTGTCACCCGGTTCAGACGTATCGCCCGGTTCACACTTGACACCTGGTTCACACTTGTCGCCCGGTTCAGACGTATCGCCCGGTTCACACTTGACACCTGGTTCACACTTGTCGCACCTGGTTCAGTTCACACTTGGCACCTGGTTCACACTTGTCGCACGGTTCACACTTGACACCTGGTTCACACTTGTCGCCCGGTTCAGACGCATCGCCCGGTTCACACTTGGCACCTGGTTCACACTTGTCGCCCGGTTCAGACACCTCGCCCGGTTCACACTTGACACCTGGTTCACACTTGTCGCCCGGTTCACACTTGACACCTGGTTCATCGCCGCCCGGTTCAGACGCATCGCCCGGTTCAACCTGGTTCACACTTGCCGCCCGGTTCAGACGTATCCCCGGTTCACACTTGACACCTGGTTTACACTTGACACCTGGTTCACACTTGTCGCCCGTTTCAGACGTATCGCCCGGTTCACACTTGACACCTGGTTCACACTTGACATCTGGTTCACACTTGTCGCCCGTTTCAGACGTATCGCCCGGTTCAGACGTATTGCCCGGTTGACACTTGACACCCAGTCACACTTGTCGCCTGGTTCAGACGTATCGCCCGGTTCATACTTGTCACCGATTTTTGAACAGGTGTAGCGGTTTATCCCATGTTCCTTGTTTCATATTCGGATTCGGGTGCCATCTAAAGTCTTTTATTTCTCTTTCAATCCCAGTAGCCCCTTGCGTCTGAGTGGCATTATTGTCTTCCTTGGGATAAACTGATAAAACACGCACCTGCATATATACAGAGAGAGAGAGAGAGAGAGAGAGAGAGAATTAATACAAGGGAACTCTTTATCACATAGATATATTTTTAATCAGTGTGTATTACGTCTACCGACCTGTGTGCCCAAGAAAATTTGAAGAAAATGTGCTCTCCGATAAATTTCTTGGCAATACAATATCAGCTTGCCGACTCCAGATTTTCGCCTCCCGACAATCACTACGTCTACTCGTCAGGGGATATCAGCAATTGACTGCTTATGCTTCTCAGTTTTTCTTTTGTTTATATGCACATTTAATTGGTGCAAGTTTTTGTTTTATAGTGTTTGTTTTTTTGTTTTTTTCCATAGTGTATGCGTGCGTGTCAGCGCCCATTCACATGAAGATGATACCGGATGAGATTTAAAGTTCTTGGCAAAATAAAAGAAAAGGAATTTAATATCAACATTAAAAAGACGATCAGAGAATTTGAGACAATTAAAATAAAAAGAAATAAATGTAATATTTCCAGATTATTCAATCATACTTGTTTGAATAATATGATGCCTAAATATACATACAAACACAAAAACACACAAACAAGTATCAGTTCCAGTTACCATATCCTTCTTGTGAAACAAATATTGAGAGTATATCATTTAACGATTGTCAGGTATTATTACACACAGTGCAACATAAATTTGTATTTATAAATATAACCTCAAGATATAAGCAGTAAAAATACGAAGTTTTGTCAAAAAAATAACGGGACAAATCCGTTCTTCGATGTGAGAAGTTTCGTCCAGAGTGAGTCTTGACACACCATCAGGCAATCCTTTAACAGGTCTACAATGGGATCATGCCGCAATTGCTTCGCTCAGTGCGCAAGTAGAGAGGAAGGTTGTGGTCGGATAAATCCTGGCTTATTCACCACGACAATGCACCTACTCACAACCCCACTGAGCATGCAGCACTTCCTGGCCGAGAAGAATATCTCTGTACTTGAACTTATTCTCCTGATCTTGCTTCGTACGACTTTTTTTCTCACCAATGTTAAGGGCATCATCAAGAGGACCCGTAACAACATAACTAAGGAGCATCGAAGAAGAATCCTTGTATCAGTGCACAGAAGCGGGGCAGAGAAAGATGCAAAAGTGCATTAAATAAAGTGCATTTGACTCGAGGTAGATTATCTTGAAGGGTAAAATATGTATCTGTCTATATAAAGTATTGTAATTATATACCCTATTTACATTGTTGTCCTCATCTTTGTTGCCATATTCACGCCGTTTCGGCCGTTGTACGCTCCGGCCTTCTTCAGTTGATTGGAATTTCGAACGGAACCCTTTATTTCGTCCACTGGGATAGATTGTTCTATTTTTATGTGATGTAACCCCTTCCGGATGTCCCAGTATCAGTTATCTCCCTTTAACCCAATTCTCCAAGCTTTTATTCACCTCAGCTGTCGTCGGGTTTTGAACTCACAACTGTTTGGGCCAAGTTACTTGATTTAACCAACGCTTTTATCCACTGGGCCATGTTTCCTTGGGGTTCGGTTCAAAATTCCCAAATCTGTCACTTGCAGAAGGCCGGAGCGTACAACGACCGAAACGTCGTGAATATGACAATAAGGATGAGGACAACAGTCCGAAGAATTTAAATAGGGTAAGCAAATTATGTAGTTTGTCGTTTGAAATTGAAATTGTTCGTGGCACTATTCTTGTTATTTTTTAGACAGATTCCGTATATAAGAAGATATGGTACACTATCCCTTGAAACCTGCATGAATTATTAATTTTTTTTTTTTTAAATTTTAATCTCTGTTCTTTCTCACTGACAAGATGTCGCAAGCCTCTCATTGCCAATTCCATGGAAAGAGTTCAGATGAAGTACATTCCTTAATTCCACCAGTTCTACCCTTCATCATTAGGACCCGCCATGCTACACATTGTAGCAAGCCACCTACATTCCCTGTGTACTCCATTAGTGAGAAGTAAGTTAAACTCGAGCAGCTTCTTCGTTCGAACCATTTCTCTGTGGAACCGACTTCCACAAGGATGCTTTCCCGATCATTAAGATATTAATATTGTCTAGTGTTAACCGTTACATATATCAGTATAAACTGTGCCACTTATTCTGTAACCCTCTACCTTGTGTAGCTCTCGTGCCTTGTACGAGGATAACCACATTGTAGAAAATGTTATCATCATTCTTTCACTCATTGGGAGAAATAACAAAAAGACAAAACTTATTGAGAGCTACATGGGAAAGGAGAAGGCGGAGAGCCATGATCGCCTACGTTCTGAAAGGACACGGTACATAAAAGAAAGTCACTTCATCTCTTAAAGCTGTAGTTTAATTAGTAGGACTTGCATCAATAAAATTATTATTATCTCTCAAAAAGTTCTTACCATCTATAAATATTTTCTGGCTTTAAATAACGTGCAAATGGTAGATAAGCCATAAAAAAACAAGGCAGTCAATCCATTAACTGCAACTTCGACGAACATCTTAAGGTAAACATTTTGAAAAAAATATCCAAAATTCACCGACCTTTTAATAATTAAAACGCACGAAGACAATTAGATATGAAAATAATTAATGTCCCAAAACGTGAGGAGGGATGAAAAAAATGATAGGAATATTCTAAATGATTTAAATGAAGTTAAACTAAACTAATAATAATAATGATAATAATAATAAAAAAACTTAAAATTATAATAAATAATGAATAATAAATTATAATAATAAATAGATATGATAAATATAACAGTATAATATATATATAAATATAATAATAAATATAATGATATATGATATATATAATATATAATTATATATAATATAATTATATATAATATAATTATATATAATATATAATTATATATAATGTATAATTATATATAATAAATAATTATATATAATATATAATTATATATAATATATAATTATATATAATATATAATTATATATAATATAATATATATATATATTATTTTATAATATATAATAATATATAAAAATATTGTAATTATAATAATAGATATAATATAAATAATAACTTATAAATAATAAATAATAAATTAATATATAATAATAACTAATAATAATAGTAATAATAGTAATAATAATAATAATAATAATAATAATAATAATAATAATAATATTAACACGCAGAATGAACGCTTCAGTGTCAACTGAATTTAGTTACGAAACTCAGTCTCATCCAGTAAACACACCGGAGGTTTCACCAACTGACAACAACTTTCTGAAGCATTTTGACTTTTTTCGAAGAAAAATGTTTAAGAACCAAACAAACGCAAAGAAAATGCCATTAAAGAATTGGTTGCCTCTAGAATTTCAGAATTCTATTATACCGGAATACATAAACTTGTATCAGTTTGGAAAATAATGTGTAGATTCCAATGGTATTTATTTCGAAGTGAATTCTTGTCTGAGGGGTGTTGTTTTAAAATTAATATATAAAAATATGCATTACTTTCAGAGCAAATTGATTCATAGCGTAAAGTATTTCTTACATCATATATTAAAATCTGTTTGATTAATAAATAAAAATCCAACAGTTCTTTAGAAATTGCTTTTTTTTTACGTCAGGATATGAAGCTGAGCAGACATATTTGTTTCGAGAGTCCGATAAAGATTTGCGCTTAAAGGCACTGTTAAACATTGCTTGATTATCGACGTACTTGCTGGCCGAGAGTGCTAAAAAACGTCGAATCTAGCAACGGTTTCCCGTACCCAAGGAGAAGCAGGTTAGAATCCTGCCGGAAAGCGCGTTTTTTTCTCTTTAATAAGATTTCTCGAAGATTAAGGTCGGTAGACTAAAATAAATACACTGTTCAATGAATAAACGCAGCGTCTACTCGAATATGGGCATCCACTAAAAATAACGTTTAAAGGGATCAAATCTATTGGATTAATTAAAAACTCCATCAGTTCTTTAGAAATACATATTCATTTATAGTTAATATATAAAATATTTAAGTATATATAATTATATAGTGTTAGACAATGTGCAATATTTAATATGTAGTCATTCTTATGAAATCAGAATGACTTCATAAGATAATAATTTGAAATATACTTTGAAGCTTCAAATGTAAAACCCTACTAATAAGAGTAAGGGCTCAACAAAATGTGCCACAATATTTTACAAGGGTAAAAATATAAAATTATATAATTATGCTGTATAAAAATTAGAGAGCTGCTTGATTTGCTATTTAATTGATGACCACAAAATAAAATATAAACTAATAAGTATTTTTTAAGCATTTCGCTCCAAGCAAGGCGGGCGTGTTATTGGTTCTCAGGGGGTTACATAGAGTGAAATTGAGAGAAAAAAAAAACAGTGTATAGGAGGGATGGGGAAAGGATAAGGTGTTCAAAACATCAGAAGATGGCGATTGACGTTGTATTTAAATTATTGAAGATGGTAGTTATCAGAAAAGCAAGTAAATGAAACGGAGTTGTACATGCGGGAAGGGCGAGAACAGAAGCTGTTGGAGTAGAAGTGTTGGTTAGATTTAAGTATTTCAACGGTAAAAGGATGAGACCTAGACGCCAATCTAGTAGCAAATTTATGTAGTCGGGGAAAAAGCTCAACAAAAGAGTTGCCAAGAAAATATTTGTAGAAAAGACAGAGGGAAGCCGCATCACGTCTATGAGAAAGTGACTTGAGTCGAGATGCCAATTCAGTATCGATTGCATTGAATATTATTATTTGGATTTTGCTAAGAACCTCAAGATCAATAGTAAGGACATAGATCCAAATATGGCTACAGTGCTCAATGCACGGACGAATGGTAGATTTATATATATGTAAAATAGACTCTGATGAGAAAAAAATTCTGGCACAACACCGTGGGCCAAATTTCCTTGCAGTAAATGCAGCTATTGATTCAATGTAGTTGTTCCACTTCAAGTTACTCGAAAGCGTCAGGCAAGGAGCTGCAGTGAGACACACTCCTGGAGTCAAGCATCAATCATGCTAATAGCAGGCAAGGAATTATCTCTGTGGTGGCTAAATAAATTACCCCGAAACTCATAGACTTGTCAGGCTAAAGTTTTCCTATGTCATGAACAGGAAATATTATACTAAATCAACTGCTAGGAAAGTTGGTTTACTGTGTCGTGATAAACAATATTTCTTGCCAGAATTTTAGATAGTATTGCCAACAGGTTAATTATAAATTGAAAAGTTCTTATCATTCGAAGATCTTTATGCATGCATATTTCTGTATATTTTTGCAGTGTAATATCATTTTGCCTAAGATCATTTTTTTTTCTGTGTGTCACAGAAGTTTTTGATATCTTTCTGTCTGTCTGTATCTACCAATCGCCCTTGCTTCGAATATTGTTGCCACATCTGGTATGGTATCCCTGCTATATATTTAGAGATTCTTAATAATATACAAAGAAGAATGTGCAATGTTATTGGTCATGATCTTGCATCCCGGCTGCAGTCACTTTCCCACCGCTGCGTTGTAGCTTCCTTGTGGTATTCCTATAAATACTTTCATGGTAATTGTTATGATGGATTTTTCTCTTCGGTAAGCTAGACTTTATGCAATACTAGATTAGTGGCAAGGTCTCGTCATCTTACTGTTAAAAAGGCTAGATGCAACCGTAAGTTCTATGCTAACAGTTTCTTCTCTCGTAATTTTCGCTTGTAGAACTCTCTTCCGGTTTCTTGCCTCTCAGTCAACTTATATTTTCAAAAATTTAATTGCAATGACAATCGTTATCTTCTGTCTTCTTAATTTTTTTCTTTTAATTTTCTATCGCCTTAATAGTGTTTTATCATATTTTGTAACACCAAGTAATCCTTTGTGTCTTAGTGGTTTTATTGCCTTCCTTTGGCTGAAATGATTAAAAAAAACCTTAGATACATATTGTTAAAAACTAACATGCTCAATTTCTAATAACAGAATTAGCAAAATTTGACGTCATTTGTGACGGCATGTTTAAATTAGAATTAATCTTAGAGTATACTGGATATAAAAAAAAAAATTATCCATTGTTATTAAGTAATAAAATGATCTTAGGAAAAATGATAAGGTATTAATATTACACGGCAAAAATATACAGAAATATGCATGTATAAAGATCTTCGAATGATAAGAACTTTTCAATTTATAGAGGTATGCGTGTCTGTATGTGCGCGTGGGTATACAGTTAACAGGTTTATTTTCTGTTGTTTTAGTCAATACATAAATAATCGCTCAAAAGATAAGACCTTTGATGTTTTTATCTCTTAAATATTCTGGATTTAGTTTTTTCAGTATAGATTTAAAAAGAAACTATGCACATCTGAGACAAAAAAAACTTTATGACACGTTTTTTTTGTGTGTGTGTGTGTGTGTGTGTGTGTGTGTGTGTGTGTGATAGCTTTCTGTCTTTCTGTCTGTCTGTCTGTCTGTCTTTCTGTATCTATCTATCTATCTATCTATCTATCTATCTATCTATCTATCTATCTATCCTGTTCATAAGCCTCTCTATATTACTCTTAATTTGTCCATATCTATCTATCTATCTATCTATCTATCTATCTATCTATCTATCTATCTATCTATCTATCTATCTAATACAATCTCTTGGTCTCTCTTTCTTTCTTTCTTTCTTTCTTTCATTCTTTCTCTTTTGATCTCTCTAGCTTGACTAAAAGATCTTACATTTCATCTTTTTCGCCTTCTTGACCAACTTTTCATTCGTTTCCAACTTTGTCAACTGTTCATGATTTGATTACTGAATAATTTAATATATACTGTTTCTTCTTAATTGATCCACAATTTATGGATTCGGCAATCTCATGTTAAACGCTCAGACCGACATTTTTATATTGGTTCCGTTGACAGTGAATCATGTTTCAATTTTCTCTTACAGTTAATTGATAATTCAAAACATCGATCAGCTTAAGATAAACGCAGCACATCATCAACTCACCGTGAAATATGGTACACAGGCCAATTAAGATAGTAGCTCTTGTTTGATCTGATATATAAGCGCCTGTGTAGACGTATTTCTTTTGGCTACTGCTGATGCCTATATAGACATCTGTAATTTAACAATACAAGGACGGAAAAATGGCTTCCGAATAACGTTCCCTGAGCTATGACAGTAATAATTTTGACAACAGTATTTTATGTGCATCAATTTTTGGCGCAAAATGACTGTCTGATCACGTGAACATAGGCAAACAATGAGATTGCATTTTAAACGAAAAACAATTTGTGTCCCATTTTTTTAGCTTAAAACGGAAAGAATTCTTCAACTTCAGTTAGATGCCTGACATATCATGTTATAGCCACAAGCCTCTAACCGGTAAATTTCCACTAATAAATATTCTTAAAGTCTTCAGTTGCATTTTCAACTTCACTTTTTATGTGTGTGGTATATATATATATATATATATATATATATATATATGTGTGTGTGTGTGTGTGTGTGTGTGTGTGTGTGTATATATATATATGTGTGTGTGTATATATATACATATATGTGTGTGTATATATATATATATATATATATATATATATTTACGCGCGTGCGAAGACACAGAGAGGGTGGGAAACAAATATACGTACATATACGAATTTTTAATTTATTGTATTTCCAACTAATGAATAAACATATTTTTCATATAATTAACTGTACACATATGCATAATAACTAAATATGAATAGAAAATAGAAAAAATTGATTTGATAGAAATAAATCCCATTTATTCATTTTAATGGATGAAAAAAGTATTCGTACAATACAAAAAGAATGCATAATCTTCATTTAATACTTTCTAGAATAGCCATTATTCTCTTCAACCTCAACTAACCTCTTCTTGTAGTTCCCAATTAATGATTTTCAAATTTTAGTTGGTATTTTGTTCCACTCTTCTTCGAATATGGTCTTTAGATCCGGGATATTTGTTAGAGCTGTCGATGGGATTTGAATTTTCAAATGACGCCACATATTCTGGATTGAGTTTAAAACTGGGGACTCACTTGGTCATTTCAGGATATTTACCTTATTTTCAACAAGCCATTCCTTCGTAGATTTTGTAGTGTGCTTAAGATCATTTTCTTGTTGGAAGATCCAGTCAGAAAGAAATTCAAAATTTTTAATCGAAATTATTAAATTTGCTTCTGAAATATTTTGATTATGCTGTGTCATTCATTCTACCATATATTAGAATTATGTTGCAAGTACCTTTTTTTGCAGAAAAAAAAACATCCCCAAACCATAATGCTACCACCACCAAATTTCACTGTTGGAATTGTTTTCTTTTGTTTGAAGTCATCGTCATTTTTCCTCCATACATGATTTCTAGAATTACGTCCAAACAATTTAATGTTGGTTTCGTCTGTCCATAATACTCTTTCCCAATACGATTTTTCCTTATCCGTATGTTCACGAACAAATTTCAATCTGGTATCTCCGTGTCTTTTCAATAGCAGTGGAGTTTTCCTTGGGAGCGTGACTTTACACCGATTCCTTTTTTTCACCCATTAAAATGGATAAATGGGATTTATTTCTATATAATCATTTATTTTTTTCTGTTTTCTATACATATTTAGTTATTATGCATCTTTGTACAGTTAATTATATGAAAAGTATGTTTATTCATTTGTTGGAAATACAATGAATAAAAAAATTATATGGGTACGAATTTTTACGCAAATCTCAGTATACACAAGTATTTCTTAAGAGTGTAAAAATCATGCATTTTCGGTAACCGGTTGCATTATATACAGGTAATATATTCTAGAGTGGTTAAAATTCATGTTAAAAAAAAAAAAAAAAACATTTAGAGTAGGTACCTCCAAATATTTTCTAAAAAAGAGGATACCATGATGAAAAAGTTCCCAAAATTAATAAAAACAAAGTTTTATCTTCAATATGTTTATGTTATTATTAAAAGGAAAGACCAAATTATTTTTTAATTATTTTATAAATTTTTTTACTCCTTTCTAGCACGTTTAAAATGTTGGCTAAAAATCTTGCTTTTCTTGAGTCAGCGGATTGCCCAATGATTGGTATTGGAAATTTTAGCGTTTCTTGGCGTTAAAAATAAATTGTTTGAGAAATTCTTGTAAAAATTGAATAATTGACGAACTTTCCTGACATTTTCAGGATTCATCCAAAGCTGAAAGAAATTATTTCCGAAATGTTTTCTCCGAAAAGCCCGGTAAAAATTTTTATTTCTAGATCTGTTACCCACATTTACTTTTAATGAAATTTCGAGAAATTAAAATTTCAGTGGCTTCAGATTTTTATTAGTTAAAATCAAGACTACTTGGAGAATAAAAATCATCAATTTGTTTTTATCAAACAGAAACATCATATACTGAAAATCTTTTCTGAATCGTAAAATAAAAAAAAAATTCAATAAAACTGTCATTATTTAAAAAGAAAATATTTTAATTGCTTTTATAAATAAGATATATTAAGGGGAATATTGTCTAAAGAAAATATTTTCGATGAATAGTTAATTTTTACAGAATTTTTATTTATTTTAAAAAAAATAAAATTTATTGAGTTTTAAATCTTATTAAATTCTGTATTAATTTCAGCTTTTGAGGTGATATTATTTTTAAGTGAAAAATATCTACTAATCACAAATGGAAAAACTTGAGACAAAATCATCAAACATTAATACTTGAAAAAAGAATTTATAGTTTAAAACTGGCCGTTTTTTGTCTTTTATTCTTCTCTCCTTTACATAGCGAGTAAAGTCTGAGGGTTTTGACAAAGGTCATCCTTTTAAGAAGATTGTGGACTGGCGCTACACAATCATAAACAAAAAAACTGAACCAAATAACAGAAACGACATTACTTGAGGAGTACCAACAGCAGCAACAAATAAAATGTATAGCATCCCTTAACTGGAAGAGAAAATAATAGCATAATCAAAATGTAGACATTCCTCACCACTTCAAATAAAATTCTAGGAAGTAAACCACCACCATTACTGAAAAGAGCGATAAGAGCTACTGTGCTTGAGAAACGTGTTTTCCTAAGAAATTCTTTTAGGAGAAAGATTTTATAATTTCAAGCTAAAGCAGTACTGGCTTCTCGTTCAATGAATGCCAAATATTTCCTTATAGAGAAGCGATTAATGTTTCCATTAACAAAAACGTTATATTTCAATAGACATCTCTGTTTTTACACAGTTTATATGTCGTCTGGGTTTTCGAAAGTCATTATTATAAATTATTACATAGATAATATTTTTCTTTCTTTTTTTTTTACGAGCGTCAGCTGCCGAGCAGGTGAGGGTTTATTTCAAACCTATCAACAAATCATCTGATGAATAAATCACGATACGGAGCCCGTCGGAGACAGAAAAATCTTGATGGAGTAAAAAGTATGCAGACGAAAAAGAAAAATGAAAGATTTCAAGAAATTGCATTCCCGTATTACGTTTTCCCCGACATTTTTCGTTGCATTCTGCCATTTTTTTTATTTTTTTTGTCGTTGTTGTTGATGAGTCAGCGTCATTTGAATTATCATCCGGGTCCTATGTGTTGCCTCTTTTGTTTGTGACTGTATGGGGCAGGTGAATTGCTCTTTCATATCCTTTCGTTCACATTATCATTTTTTATTCAAATACGTTCTCACCACCCACCCACACACATACGACACACATTTTTACTACCCAACTTCAAAATCCTGATTACATTGAATGACTCTCTGACCATTGATTCAAACCAGCTGTGTCTGTCATTCGGCCGCCTCTGGTCATCATTTTGATTCCTTGATAGCCGTCGTCGCCGTCGTTGTCGTCGTCGTTGTCGTCGCTTTTCGCATCGAGGCTGGCGTCACCTTAAACAGGGTTCAGCTTCTTATAATTTGATAATACGACTTACGATTGATTGATGATTTTCTTTTTTTAATACTATAGTGCTTTTCGTCATTTCTCAACTTTTTGCCGTTCGTTAAGGCCCCTGAAAAAGGCAAGAACGTTACCAATATTTGAATTTTGTTTAATCTACCTGAATAGAACAGATATGCCAGAAAAGAATCTATCTATCTATCTATCTATCTATCTATCTATCTATCTATCTATCACATTTTGTTTATCTATCTATCTATCTATCTATCTATCTATCTATCTATATATATATATATATATATATATATATATATATACACACCTATGTGTCTATCTCATTTTTTGATATCAATATTTCTATCTCATTTTGTTCATATCTATCTTTATATAGCTAATTCTGTAATCTATCCAGCTATCTGACTCATTTTCTTCATATCTATCTATTTATCTATCTATCTATCTATCTATCTATCTATCTATCTATCTATCTATCTATCTATCTATTTGAGTCTGTACATATCTATTAGGTTTTCACACCTGAAATGACGCATTTTTTGATTGGTTGTGGATCCGGTCGTCTAACGAAGTAACCTCCTTAGTATAAAAATATCTTGACATATTCTTGTCTCTTTCAATATATTGTTACTCATAAGCCCAATGAAAATTATTACAATGAAACAATGTCGAGTAATCTTACTCTATGTGTACAAACTGGGAAAAAGAACCATTTTTTTTCACCGAAACATTACATATGGTGAGAACGGTGAGACAAGAGTGGTTACATACAAGTGAATCCCCAAAACAATACCTAAAAT